TCACCTATTCAAAATGCCGGTAAACCACATACGCTCCACCGAACTATGACAAACATTGAGTCACCCTTTGCTACCTTTGCTTAGAACCATTTAGTGTTCCGGTAAACCACACACGCTCCACTAACGTCTTCGCAAGGGCACAAAGTGTAATTTCATGGAATTGCATCAATTCACTTTTGCCTAAGTAACTAAGATTGGGAATTAGAAAAACATTTAGTTACTTTGTATTTCATTATACTTATAATGGAAGGTTTCGTCCTATCCTACCCGTTCGGCTAACGACCCTCCACTAGTCAAGAGTGCGGTGGGTAAGAGTGGATACCCATTCAATCGCCATTTTATAGGCAATTTCCTTAAACACCCCTTATAGACCAGCTTCGTAAATGAGGCCTACTAACGGTAAGACTGACTTTTACTCATACATATATATAATGTTAGACTTTTAATGTTATATATATAGTATAGGGTGTATTTTACACTTTTAAAATACTAGGTGGTCAAATTTAACAATTATACTTTTAATGTTATATATATATATATATATATATATATATATATATATATATATATATATATATATAGTATATGGTGTATTTTACACTTTTAAAATACTAGGTGGTCAAATTTAACAATTATACTTTTAATTCAATTAAATTGCAAACCTAAACATTTATGGATTTATTAAACTTCTTTTAATTATACACCTTAATTAATTAATAAAACCATAAGGGTGTAAATTGAACTTTTCAAAGCATTACTAGGGTTTTAGAATTTAACATTCCTAATTAAACTTTTAATCAACTTTTAAATTCCAAAACTTGAGGGCAAGTTATGAAACCTTTTTCAAAACATTAGGGTTTTAACTATTTAAATTTCAAAACTTCAAAACTTTTGGGTTCAAATTTAAACTATAAAACCTAAACGGGAAAATATGAAACTTTTCATAACAACAAGGATCAAATAACAAATAATTTTAAATTAACTTAATCACACAATTATCCATATTTGATTTATTTAATGATTTCTTGCAAAACAATTTATCAATTTACTAAAAATAATTAATCAATTATCTTATAAGGAGACAATTATCTTATTAATTGATAAATATCTTCAATTAGATCAAAAATATAGTCAAATATATCATATAATATTGATCTAAGATGATAAGGTAACTATCCATATGCAAAAACAACAAGAAATCCCGAGTTAAGCACTATCTGACGAGTTGACTCGTCGAGTCAAGCCTGGACTCGTCGAGTCACCCTAGACTCGGCGAGTTCTGCAACGGAATCGGCGAGTCCAGAGTCTAGAACACCAAAAATCGAATTTTTTTAGATATACAATGCATCAATACAATTGAAACCAAGCTAGGCTCTGATACCACTGATGGGTTTTGGTCATAAGACATCCTATGTGCTCATACAAACCCTAATGCTTGGATTTAGGTTTCTCTATTGTACATGCTTTGAATCCAAGACTATAAACCCTAATTCTAGCATTCAAGTAATCATATTAATATGTAATTAGGTTTAAGATCATACCTTGATTGTTATGTAGCAATAACAATCCCAAATCTCCTTGTAATGACTTTGGAATGCTTAGAGTCACAAGTGTCACTCCTCTAATGGCTTACAAACACCAAGAGCAAATAGAGAAGGTATAAAGAGAGAGGAGAGAGGTTAGAATTCGTCCTTAGGACTCCTTGGGAAGGGATACACGAATTCATGAGCCAAGGGGTGTTTATATAGGTGTAGAGATAGGGTTTCAGTCATTATCCTTATCTAGTTGCTTATCCACAAAGCAACCCATAAGATAATCCTTGAATCCTTATCATAGTCGAATTCTAAGGCCTTATCACCTCAAATCCGTTCACCATATATTTAAGATAATCCTTACCTTATTTTGTAACTATCACATAATTACAAATCAGCCCCTCTAGTTTAATTAATTACACTTGATCACAAAATTAATTACTAATTAATTATTGACCAATATTAATTAAACAAATATGATTTCTCCTTTAATATATTATTCTTATAACATATTAATAAATCATAATAACCTCTCTCTATATATATTTCTCCAATCAAGTTGCTTTGGTGAAGGCAACCCAAAAGGACCATGCACCATCGGGTCAAGTACATACCAAAATAGTTATGGACTTAGACACTAATCCAACACAATTTACTTCCAGGTTTTGGAAGAAGTTTCACGAGGAGTTGGGTAGGAGGCTGCATTTCAGTACCGCATACCACCCGCAGACGGACGGACAGAGCGAGCGGACGATTTAGACGCTCGAGGATATGCTCCGAGCGTGTGTTTTGGATTTTGGAGGGAGTTGGGACACCTATTTGCCCTTAACAGAGTTTTCATACAACAACATCCATCAATCGAGCATTGGTATGCCACCCTTTGAGCTGTTGTATGGAAGGAGGTGTCGAACCCCCATCTGCTAGGGAGAGGTGGGGCAGCGGGTAATGGGTAATACGGAGATTGTGCTTCAGATGACCGAGCAGATACAGCAGGTCAGGCAGAGATTGTTGACCGCTCAGAGTCGTCAGAAGAGTTATGCGGACAAGCGTCAGTCCGAGCTTGAGTTTCAGGTTGGTGACCTTGGGCTCTTAAAGGTCTCTCCGAGGAAAGGAGTGATTCGATTCAGGAAGAGGGGCAAGTAGGGAACTCGATATATTGGACTTTTCAGGGTAACCGCTAGGGTAGGCAGGGTAGCCTACCGGTTGGATCTACCTGCTGAGTTGGGTCAGATTCACGACACCTTTTATGTGTCGCAGTTGAGGAAATGTATTGCCGACGAGTCGGCAGTGGTACCATTAAAGGATATTCAGGTGGATGCAGGCCTGAACTATGTTGAAAGACCAGTGGCAATTAGGGATCGAAAGGTTAAGGTTCTGAGGAACAAGGAAGTACCCTTGGTGCAAGTGCAGTGGCAGCATCGGAACGGATCCGAGCTGACATGGGAGTCCGAGTTTGAGATGCGGGAGCAGTATCCAGAATTGTTTTCGGTATAAGACTTCGAGGATGAAGTCTGGTTCTAGTGGGGGAGAATTGTAACAGCCCGAAATTCAGGTACCTCTACTTAGCCCTTCATCTTTCTTATGTTGTCATTTTGGGCTTATGTGTTGGGCGAGTACGCTGCGCGTACTCGCGCGCCTCATTTAAACATACCATCACCCGGGTACGCTGGGCGTACCCAAGGTTACGCCGGGCGTAACCGGTCCAGACCCAAAAACCCTAATTTTGTGGATTGGCTATAAAAGGAATGAGATGGCTTGGTTCCTCAGCCACTATCCTTCAGAAAGAAACCCTAAGAGAGTTGTTCCTTCGTTCATAGCTTGTTTGTGAGTGTTCTTAGCTTGGTGGTGTCATTTCAAGGTAGCAAAAGAAAAGAGGAGTCCATTGTGGAGGCTAGAAGTTGGTGTTCAAGTGTAGATCCGTGGATAGCAAAGGTTAGAGCTTCTTTCTAAGGTAAAAAGTTCGAATCTTGACTTGTAGTTCTTATGGTATGCTTTATGGACCATTTTCTAGGGTTTTGGTCCCACAGATGGAGACTTTATGAGCAAGTAGCCTCCATTGGCTTAGATCCATCATATTTCTGGTCCCTTTGAGTTGTAGATTCATAAAAATGTAATCTTGGATGTGAATGATTAGCCATGCATGAGATCTAGATCTTTTGAGTTGAAATGGAAAGGATTAAGGAGTGTAGGAGCCTTTACAGCCATGCCAAGGCTTAAAGGTTTCGACTTTATAGTTAAGGAGGCTTAAAGAGAGCCGGATCTAGAAGTTGAAGAAATGTCTTAACCATTTAAGACCAAAAATGAAGAATGGTTGAATCTGAGTGTTACACTGGGCGTAACTCCCAGTACGCGCAACGTACTAGATGGAGACCCCGATTGTTGATTAGCGAAGTACACCCCGCGTACATAAGACTGTACGCCCCGCGTACTGAAAGATGTTGACTTTTGTTGACTTTTAGGGTTTTGGTCAACATGTGGACTTTGAGTCAAGGAAGGGTAAAATGGTCTTTTACCCCTCTGACGAATATTAATATGGGTAAAGTCTAGTTGTGGAAGTCTATATTAATTAAAATAATATTTCGTTATGATTAGGCGGGGTTGGGATTCGGAGATAGCGAGCACGTGAGATTCTAGACTTTCCACGAGGTGAGTTTTCTCACTATACTGTACCTGGAAGGGTTTTATTGTGTGATTGGAAGGTCGGATATGTTATGAGATGTATGCATCGTATATGATAATTTAACCGTTTGTATGTGCTATGTATGCTATACTTGATATGGGCCGGAAGGCATTATGTTATGGACCGGAAGGCATATATGTTATGGCCCGGAAGGCGTTGTGATGTGGACCGTAAGGTTGACATGGGTAGGACTGGAAGGTTTACCGAGTCGGGACGGAAGTCCCCTAAGACACATGGACCGGAAGGTCAGGGCCCGGAAGGGCGTATGCGCGTAAGTAGTATTTTGGGGGACTCACTAAGCATTTATGCTTACAGTTGTTTTGTTATGTGTTTCAGGTACTAACGAGGACCGTGGGAAGGCGCCGGCGTGATATGTACACACTGACGAGGGAATCATTTTATGATTTTGGGATGTACTTTATTACGATGACATTTGTTATGCATGTGATTTCAGAATATTAAATGATGGTTTATGTTGTTTAAAAAATGAAAAAAATTGTTTTGAAAATTTATGTTGTTACATCATGATGATCCAACTTGCTTTCAGCAAGTGATCCATGTCGACAACAGGTGCTCCATGTGTACATCAACTGCTCGAAGTTCACTTCAAGTGCTCTAAGTAAACTTCAAGTGCTCCAACATATGATTCTTCAAACACTTGTTGAATCTTCAGGATCTTTCCAACCTGAAACATTCTGATAATGTTTGTTAGAAAATGTAAATCAATACTCAACTCATTTCAAGTGACAATCACATTAAAATATTTCCAACAATCTGACTCTCGGCAAATGGTTGGGCAGTGTTACTATCCGTGGAGAAAACTGGGAAGACTTTATTCTTGTCGCGGCCGGTATGAGTGCCGCCTGGAGGGCTCACAAGAAGATGGCGCAAATGTTCGTCGTGAGATGCAGTATTAACTCATCTCCTCCCCCCCCCCTTTTTTTTTGAAAATAGAGTGAGGATAAGATATCTTATTGGCTTATGATATCTTACTTTTGGTGTTTGCCTTTATAGGTGCGGAGGCTGAGATTTCTTTGGAGATGGCCCTGTGTGGTCATTATCAGGGAAAGCTTTACCATCGGGAGATCAATCACATAGAGTTTCTTCCTCCTCCTGTATCTGAAAGACGCATGCAGGAGCTTGGTGGGTTGCTCTTGGTAGAAGGGGGAAATGTGGGTTCTCATGGGTCTGCATCACCTTCTCAGCCGACCGTTGTGGCCATTTCCCCAGTCCATTCCCCAGTTGCTGTTCCTTCTGGTTTTCCTGCGGGTGCACAAGTAGAAAGAAGTAATGCGCCTACTCGGAAAAAGCGGAGCATGCGTGTGGTGCCGTCGTCAGAAGAAGAGATAGAATCCGACGATGCGGGTCTTTGTCCTCGTAAAGCTCGTAGGATTGTGTCTATGGCCAGGCTTCTTGGTTGTATCGGGGATATTCTTAGTGGTCAATTCTATGTGCCTAAACAGAGAGAGGTGGTGGTGGTGCCCAGTTCTCCTGGGGCCTCACTCTCTCGATCTGTTGGTTCACCATTGGTTAATCCTGGTTCCAACTTTGTATCTGGGGGTGCATCGAGTTCATCTAGGGGTTCCCTTTAACATGAGAGGTCTTCCCTAATCAATGAAACAAGGACTTTATATCACTCCTCATCTTTTGAGGCCTACGCTCTGGGCTGGGCGATTACTAGGGATTCTTTGCTGTCAGAAGACACTACTGCCCAGGAGTGGAGTAGGTGCGCTCATCCTCCGGCCACGATGAGTTCGCTTGTGGGTCAATCAAGTGATCATATGGCTGATGACCTTTGTTACGCCACAACCCAGACCTCTTCCCTTATGGTTGCTACCGTTGACCAGGTTCGCCTAGCCGATGTGGGTCAGGGGAAATTAAAAGTAGTGCAGGGTGCCTTGGCAGGCATGAGGAAGGAGGTTCGTGATTCATAGGCAGCGCGTCAAGTTCTTGCTGAGTAGAACAACATTATGGCCTGCGAGAAAGCTACTTTAGAGGATCAAGTGGCTACTTTGGAGGACCGATCAGAGCGACTTAAGGACCAAGTGAGTTCTCTTACTCGATAAAAGGAGGTGCTAGCGAGTAGACTAGCAAGGTGCCAACATCAATTAGCTCGAGCCCATGCTGAAGGTGTCGTTGCTCGAGGTAGTTTGTAATGGGTGTTGCAGAAGAGGGTAGTTTGTGTGATTGACAGGGTCATTAAGAGCGCTGAGTTCGAAAAAGGGGTCTAGGATGTTCGTGAGGCTTGTGAAGCCCTTGGGTTTGAGAAAAGGAGGCAACTGAGTGGTTTCTCCACATCTTCTGGTAAATCTAAAGTTTTGGGTCATGGCCAAGTGGCGAGCAGGGCCAAGGAGGTCAACACTGTCCTTACATCTTTTGTCAAGACGGATTTTGCTGGCCTCTTTCGTTTAGGGGAGTTAGGTTATGATGGCTTCCATCAGTTTTGTGGCAATCTAAGCCTGGGAGGTTCTTCCTCGGACTCCAAGGGTTGACTTGTATATGCCCCTTGTTGTTCGTCTTTTTGTGTACTATGTGTATAGTGTAAAACATTGGTTGCTAATAACCTTGGACTGTGTTTTTTGTTTTGTATTTGGTATGGAAGTGTTCTCTTCCCTTTTTTTTTTGTATGTATGCACATGCTTTGAGTTGTAACTCGCTTTTACGCATTCCCTTGTTCTAGGGTTTGCGTTATTCTGGTAACGCGTGCTCCAGATGTCACATAGCTACTACTACTGAGCTATGTTCCTCTGACTTGTATGTTTAATTAGGCTTATGATATTAAGCCGTGAAATAATAGTCAATATTGTTGACTATGATGTATGGTGTAGCTACCAATACATTAGCTGAGATCGTCATCTCAAGGCCTTTACTGTTTAATTTTTAGGGGGGAAAGGTTATAAACCTTTTACGACCCCTTGTTTTGTGCCATTTACACAATCTCAGCTCTGATATGTTATTCAACATATTGTAGGTAAAGATTATGACTCTTTTAAGACCTACGGTTGCATTCTTGCATAGATTTTTATCAAGTAACGTAGGTGATCAACCGTTGTTGCTACTTGGAAAATATGCACAACCTCTATATTTTGTGTTTTTGCAATACAAAATTTTGGAAAGTGTTTTCAAAATGAAAATTATATTATTTCTAAAAGGAAAAATAAAAGACATGAGACAATAGACCCTGAATGTCTAAGTGTCGGGGTATGTGCCCGTTCTTTGCTTTCGCGCCTGAAGTATGGCTATTCTATCTGAAGTTGGGCCATACTTATTGTTTGGCAGTGACGTCTTTCTACGCCTGATGTAGGTTAGCCTTCATAGGTTAGGGATTCCTCTTATTTTTTCCAGCGAGGTTTGGTGTGGGGGAGTTATGTTTCGCTTCTCGTTCCCTGGAGATGTTCTCGTCTGTATTTCTTTGCGACCCGATGCATGTTGCAACCGTGGGAAGCGCCTCCCCTTGGCCGGGTGAGAGTGTCTCTAGTGCGTTTCTACGCACCCATCTTCCATGCATGTCCTGCTATCACTGTAAGTGTTGTTTTACTTACCGAGGTCTCTTGTTGGTGCTCTCCTACTGGAAAACCTGCTCGTTAAAAAGATGGCATTCCACCTCCGCTGTTGTTGTTTCATGAACTTGCGCCTCTGTTATGAGGGGCTTTGGTTTATCGGCGAAGATTTGCTTTGGAGCCCGAATTGTTCTTTTGTTGGTCCTTGCCTATAATTCAATTATAGGCCAGGTAAGCGCCTTTGCCTGTGAGCCAACGCTTTCTCGCCGTACGCTTGTCACTCTGTATTCTTATTAAGCGTTCCTTGGATCAACATGAGTTCCCTTCTATGGGAGAGGCGTTGCGAGTCGACTGAACACATCTCGCCATCGTTTCTTGGTCTCGTAGGCTGGCATTTGTGCCACAATAGTTTTCCTTTGTGGGTCTTCTCTTGTTTTGGTGACCTTTGTTTTGTCGTGATTGGGTTTCTTGCCTTGCTCTCCGTTGGCCGTCATGCCCAATTGCCGACTTCGTCACTACTACCGTTTTTGATCCATCACTCGTGCTAAATTTGAGAACACCATGGAGAGTAGATGGGATTGCTTACAGCTGGAAAAGCACATGTTAGCCTAAGAGAATGTTGTTCTATGTCGGGTGATCAACAACCAAAAATTTGAGTGCCCTTGTTAGCTCCTTTGCTCCGTCATTGCTAGTCACCCGTTGGCTAAATGCGGTAACCAGTGAAGCCAACTAATGGGCCCTGGCATGGTGGATGGAGGTACTCTTCCCATTTGATTGGTAGTTGATGAAGGCAATGCTCGTAGTAAAGGTCTTAGGGTTTAATAGCCATAAACCCTAATTTTGTATAGTTCAATCAATTGTACCAAATCTAATTAAAAACAAAAAACCATACGCTCTGATACCACTGATGGGTTTAATACAAAGCAAAAAATCCTATGTGTGCATGCAACCCTAATCTGAGGATGTATTTTTTCACTATTAGACATACAATCATTGAACACAAAAACTAAAAACCCTAGGAGGCACATGTAATTTTTGAAATTAACATATAATTAGGGTTAGAATACATACCTTTATTGTTATATTGTAATAACAATCAAATCCTTGAAGATCTTGAACTTTGGTAGCAAGCGCCACAAGTATTGCACCTTTAATGGCTCACAAACAAACCTAGCAACCAAGGATTACTATGGAGAGACAAGGGAAGTGGAAAATTCGGCCCTAGCCTCTCTAAGAGTGCCCTACAACAAAATCCGACCCTATAAGGGTTTACATAGGTGATAAGAAAGGTTTAGGATAAGGCAAATGTATCTTAGATAACCCTAATCCCTTAACTTCCTCCCTAAGGCTTCCAAGGCACCCTTAGAGCCCAAGGAAACCCTAGTACATTTTAGATTTCATTCCATCCCTATAAGGGAGGTTCTAGAATGCTCAATGATCAACTTTTGAACATTGTCACCTTTAGTCCCTTTAGTTTCAGTTAATTCCTTTAATCCTAAAATTAAGACGAAGATCAGACAGTTTTTTTCTAATCAGCGATATAGTTCATTATTGGAGATGTAGGAGGCCGCCAAGCGGCGTGAGATCGAGATTGATTTGCAGACGAGGGAGTTAAGATCGGCCCTGATGTAGTCGTAGCCTGCGTCGACACGGTTTAGGGCCACTGATTCTAGGTCGATAGGTCAGAGGGGCCGCACTTGTGGGAAGTGCGGTAAGGTGCATGATGAAGCTTTTCGATCTTCTTCGGGATGCCACAAATGTGGCAAGAAAGGGCCACATTGCGAGGGATTGTCAGCAACAGACTCCAGCTTTTGGCTTTAGACTTTGTTACCATTATGATCAGGTGGGCCATATGAAGGCCCAATGTCCCTTGCTTGTTGCCAGGCCGACGCAGGTGCAGCGTCGGCTACTTTGAGGATTATAGATGGGAGTCACGGCAGAGCGGAGCCCCCGAGGGCTCGAGGTCGCGCTTTCAGCTTACTGTCGAGATGATTTTGTATAAATCATAACTCTTTCGTGTGAGCTCCGATCAAAGCCCTCTTTATATCTTTGTAATGATCTCAAGGAGTACTATAACTCTCGTTTAGGTTGTTTTAACAAGTTTTGACTTTTATTTTTGTGCCTATCGGGAGTAAAAATAAATGATTTTACAAAAATTTCTCTCTCATACGGATCCTATTTTCGACATTCTTTTTCCTAAAGTGTATATCTCAATGAGTACTGCAATTCTTCCTTTTGCACTTTTAGTCAAAACTCAACCGATCTTTAAGTACCGTTTTGACGTAATTAACTTTAATTACACGATTGATTTTTTTATTTTTATATAATGTATAACTCTTGATTTGTTATTTTTATATAATCTATAACTCTCTCATTTGGAGTAAGATTTTTACGAATCTTATATCATTGGGATCATGTTAACGACTATTTTTCAAATATGTTACTCAGCTTTGAAGACGGTACAATTTTTTGGACACTTATTTTCGAGCCTAAAAGTCGATTTAACAATAAATGTAACGACACATTTGATTTTTATTATCTTATAAATCAAATATCACAATCTTAAGCCATTACATCTATTTTTCCTACTCTCTCTAACGGTGGTCAGTGACGCAATCCTCTCGGTTGTCACTATATATATATATATATATATATATATATATATATATATATATATATATATATATATATATATATATGCGTGTGTGTATATGGTATGGTTCAATAGAGAACCATAATTAACAAGAAACCATGACACCAATCGTGAGCGTCAGAAATCATAATAATCAACGGCCAAAGAAATAGATGTACACTTTTATATTTGACGCACATACACTGGATTATATTAAATAATCCACCTCTTTACCAAAAAAACCACCTCTTTTTTTGTTTAAAAATTTTTTAGGCCAAATTTTTTATCAAAAAAAAAGAAAAACCCGAATATACCGTTGTTCTCGATTTTTCGTTCTCTTTCCATAGAGATCAATGCTGATATATAAAAAACAAACTTTTTTTTTGAAAAAAAAAACTCACTTTATTTTGTTAGTTTTTCAATATTTAAGTTTATTTTTATCATATATATATATATATATATATATATATATATATATATATATATATATATATATATATATATATATATTAATTTTTTATACTCTATTAATAAATATTAACACAAACAAAAAAAAAACTCGAATAGTGTAGATTCACATTTATCAGATTTTTGTTACAGTTAATTTGTTATTCATATATGAATAAGTAGTATAAATGATACTTAAACCGTAAAAAAAATTAATTATATATTTTTATTTATAAGTGAATAGCAAATGTATTGTAGCAAAAATCTAATGCATTTTACTCACTTATGAATAACGTTAGCTAAACATATAAAAAAAATTATTTTATCTTAAAAATATATATCAATATGGATGTATATTTTTAGAGAATAAAAAATCATGAATTTTGGTATATTTAAAATCATTTTTCGATAATAATACTTTTTTATTTAAAATTAAAAAAACGAAAAAAAAATATGTTTTTGTATATATTAAGGTAATTATTAGTGTAGTTTAAGGAAACATGTTTTGTTGGAAACACATGTGTATTTGTTATCCTTTTTTGCTGGGACAACAGATGCTTTTACGACGAAAATAAATGAGTGGCTGAAAATGATTCTCCATTCCCAACCTTTTTTTATTTTCTCAATTGAACTTACTTGTGTGTGTGTGTGTGTATATATATATATAGGTTTAGGTTAATTTGAGACCATGCTAATTTTGTGAGACCGTGAGACCAAATCTAAAAATAATTTTACAATGCAAAATAAAAGGAAAAAACAAAAAAAATTCTTTTTTAAATTAATATTTCCGGAACTTTAATTACCTAAAAAATAAAAAAAATTAAAAATTAAAAAAAAATTACCATTTTTTTTAAATACGTGAAATATTCTAATAGAATATTATACTGTAAATATTCTAATTTGATTTTTAAAA